TACCTCATAGATCTCCGCAAAAATATTCAGAATTCAAAAAGCTTACAAACTTTTGGAGACCCCCAATCGTAAATTTGTTCACAAGCATTCTTTTTTTGTCAACAAACTGAATTATAAAAAAAAAGTGTTTTAAAAGCCCGTTCTTTTTTCCTTTGAAAGCCTTTTAAAAGAAAAAAAATCATATTGAAAAATCAAAATTGAAAATTTTTTCACACTTTTTTTCAATCACACTTCACAATTAATGTCATCAGTGATAAAAGTTTCTGTGTTGTTAAGGTTGTTAAGCTGTTTGAAACAAGACTGCTCGCCTAACAGGTTAAAGCCTCGAACGTTCTGGCTGCACCTTGATTGGTATCGAATAGTTGGATAAAAAGTAGAAAAAGTTTTAAAACCGATAAATTTTGAACAAAATGAAACATCCAGAGTAAAACTTTGAGAACAACGAAATCGATAGACCAGTAAGTTTTGGGAAAATTTTGTAGTACGGGATAAAATGCCATGCATGAATAAATTATGGTACGCTGTCATAATCATAAAATGAATTTTTCACAACACGCTTAAATTAGTCAAGAGCACGGCCAAGTTGGCAATTTTCAAACCCTTAGAACAATGAAAGTCAGATATTTTTTTACAATTAAAATCAAGGAGTCGTTATTTTCAAAGAAATAAAAAACTTTTGGGTTACTTTTTTCTATTGCCAAAAATTGGCTTCATAAAAAACTACAAAAAGCAAAAACTTTTCGAATTTTTTTGACAGTCGGAACATTATCAAAAACGTTTTATGAGAAAAAATTAATCAGCACTGCAAAAATTTTTCACCTATCTCATTGAAAGAGCATAAATTCACTTAAAAAATTCAGCTTTACTAAAAACTCAAATTCACCCCTCATATTTGTGGTTAAAAACAATCATTTCGGTGAAGGGGGAAGGTTTAAATACTTGAAAATTTAATAATTACATCTTTACGATCCAAAACGATTGAGCCAAAACTTTCATCAAAGTAAACTAAAATTATCTCAACCGACTTTACTAAAAATTTAAAATCATTTCTGTACTCACAAAATTTTTTCGGTTCCTCGCCCAAACCGTGTGTGAACTGACGGTGGTTTAACCATTTGATTTGACTGCAAAACATGGGGTTGTAAAACGAATAAAACGAATAGCATAAAATAAATAGCATGAAAAGCTTATAAAATGAATAGCATTTTGTTTTGATCATTTTTCACGACAAAAGAAAAGATTTCGTCGAATTATTCCTTATTTCGTCGAATTATTTTTTGAATAATTGTTTTTTCAAAAGTTGTAACAATGAACTAATCGCAGGAAAATCAAAAAAACACTAAGCAAAAAGACAAGGTTTGCTATGTCAGTTGCAAGAGAGAGAGAGAACGCTCTTGTTTTAGTGTTGTACGCTTTGTCTGACTATACCGTTTTTTTACGGAATTGTCGTTTTTTAAGACAGAGAAACTACAAGATATTATCAAATATTTGAAAACTGTATGAAAATTTTCAAGGAAAACATGATTACTTAAACCTGTTCGTTTCATTTTTCTTACAGAAACGGTGGAGTTTTTATGCCAGCTGCAATTTTTCTGTACATGATACCATAGGATGGGGTTTTTGTTCAATTTTAGTTTCCTCAAGAAGAACCTGTGGTGGGTCATATTTGTTATCAGTCTAAAGTCTTCTTAATTGAGGCTGACTTTTTTATTAATATTTTTTGTTTTTGTATTTTCGCTTTTAAGTCAAAAAACGCGCAAACTAATTTGTTTCGGCACATAGATAACAGCTGGGTGAATGACAAGGAAACGGGGCTGATCCAGAAAGTGGACATTATAGGCAATTAAGAGAGACAGAAAAGCAAACATGGCAGAAGCAAGGCACTAATTAGAAGATTATTAGCCAAAAATTGAATAGCCAATTTTTAGCCTATTTATTACAGCGACTAGTCTTTTTCACGTTCAATTTGGGGACAAGATAATTATGAAACAGTTTTTTGTTTAATTACCCGTCAAAATGCCTTCTTTATTTATTGTTCCGACTTTCGATACGAAAGTAACGGAATATTTGTGCTCGGGGTGGGTTTTTTTTTCATCAGACAAATTTTGACTTTTTAACTAGCCATTTTTGACGGAATTTTTTTATATCATTCGAAAAGTATTGTTGTCCTGAGCTCAAATTTGAAAAGATATTCCACCTGTGATCATTTTTCGTAAAGTTATGGGGGTTTAAAGATTGCCATTTTGGCCAATTTGGGACAATTAACGCGCGATATATTTCGCGCTATTAACGCGTAAGCGGAGTGTTAATCCGTCTTAGAAATCGTTCCAAATTGGTTAAAAGGAGCTTATTCGCCATAATTGGTTTGTTACAAGGAGCAAAATCTATCCTTTCGTATTTTGCATGGCGTGTGGGGGGATGATTTTCATAAAAAATTTCAAATTTTAGAAGAAAAAATTTTTTTCATTTTATTTTTTCTTACATTTAATTTTTCAGTATTATTACTGCTCCATAAACCTTAAAAGGCAGTCGGAACATTCAGGGCTTCGCCCTGATACGAGCAGTCTTGTTTTGCTTGTTATTAAGTTCACTGACTAGATTAAACCCGTCTCTTTGACATTCACAAACGGTTAATTATTCTATGTGGCCCTTCTGTGCTCATGGTTAGTCAGAGTAAGCATGGACGTTTAGCTTCAATAATCAATCGCCCGTCTAGCTTGTTCGCTAATTGGATAAAAAACCCATCCTTTCGTCGAACACAGGACGAACAATTTCAAAAAGGAAGTAAAGAAATTTTTAGCGATCTGTGGGTTCAAATCAAACAATTATCAAAACAATTTTAACTTTTTCAAATTTATTTGTTCAAAATTGTGAAGCTGGCGAGAGATCCATTTTAGTGATTTTAACCATGCAGTAAGAAACTTTGGTAAACTCTGCTAGAAACACTCTGTATTGGTATTTCAGAGCTTGGCTGATATTGTCCTACCACCACGCCTTTAAGTGTCGCGTCGAGTCAGTTTTTCCGCATTATTAAGAAAAGCTTGTATGGAAATATATTCAAGTCCAATTGGCCTTTTTCGGAATCCAACATAATTTTTGTTTCAGTTGTACCATATTGGAGTTTTTCCGTTTTTATTTTTTAAATTTTTTTGCTGCAACACAAAAATAACAGCGATCAAAAAATGCTGTGCTACTTGCACAGCAACCATCTATCCTTGGTAATTTACAAATTTAAAAATGAAGTTTGATCCTATAAAATTTAAATTTGAGTATCCAGAAGTTTGTATAATAGAAATTTTAACAGACTGAATTATTAAAAATTAAATTTATTAAAGTCTTTAAATACAGTGCTGATTTAAATTAACCGGACAAAACGAGCTAAACTTCAAATTTAAAACGCGTTTTTCCCAAATTGGGTTGAGTTTAGGTGAACACTTATGAAGACAAACTTGCTTAAATTTTTAGCAGGGTTAATATGGTGTAATTTGTTTTGCAAAATTCGGGCCCAAAATTTTACCCCAAAAATGGGTCATTTGGCTTTTCTTAGTTAATCAAAAATTACGCCGAAAATACCCGGTCGATCACAGACATAATTATATCAAAGTGAGCCCCTTACGTAGCCCAACAAACTTTAAGAAGGGTATATTCTCCAAAACATTGTATAAGTTAATTTATTTTTGTTTGATGGACAAAAAAGGTCGTTTTTACTATAAAAATACCAACTATTTGTTTAAAAACAATTTTTAAACAATTTGCAAATTTTTTGGAGAATATGCCCTTCTGAAAGTTTGTTGGGCTACGTAAGGAGCTCACTTTGATATAATTATGTCTGTGATCGACTGGGTATTTTTGGCGTAATTTTTGATTAACTAAGAAAAGCCAAAATAACCCATTTTGGGGTAAAATTTTGTGCCCGAATTTTGCAAAACAAATTACACCATATTAATCCTGCTAAAAATTTAAGCAAGTTTTGTCTTCATAAGTTTTCACCTAAACTCAACCCAATTTGAGAAAACTCGTTTTAAATTTCAAGTTCAACGCGTTTTGTCCGGTTAATTTAAATCAGCACTGTAGTTTTTGAAAAGAAACGCTCACAAAATTTTTTTACGCCAATAACTTTCCAAAAAAGCTTTTTTCAAGAAATGTCTGCAAAAAACTTACGTGGCGAAACTATGCACTAGAAAGGTGCACAATTTGGCGCTTGTTGTCAGTGCCCAACGGAATCTGTTTTCTAGATAGAAATGTTATATAGATTTTCTTGCTAAATTTTCTCGTATTTTCTGTGCATAAATCTATTTTTTTTCGTAGTCTAGAAATAATCATTTTCGGGAAAAAATAACCTGAAATCAGTTCACTGCTCAACCGCAGCCTAAGTTCATATACTCATTAGCCGTAGCAAAACAGGGCAAATTAAAACTTGTTATAACAAGTGTTGCTTTGCATAAAGGCATAAAGTTGCTACAACTAAGTGCAGTGACTGGTTATGTTGCCTAGCGGTTAGCATAACTGTCCATCTACAGGCAAGTCGCCGGTTAGAGACCAACCAGGAGACTTTTTCCTAGCTAGAAATAGCCTAGATTTAGCTAATTTCTGATGAGAAATACGATGGGAAATAAAAAAAATTTCAGGAAAATTCCTGCTTTATTTGAACAATTCAAAAATATTTATGTTTCATTTCTGATCTGAAATTTTCAGGACAGAAATAAACAATTTTTTTTCGGCACGGGAGGTCTCTGGAACCCAGGGACAAGTCTGTAAATATGTTGAAATTTTGTCGGACTAATCAAAGAAATTGAAAGAACAAAAGACGAACAAAGAGAACAACCTTGTTGCATATCCGCTTACAATTCGCAAAATACACAGTTTGGCCTTGTAATGAAAAAAAAATGAAAAAAATCATTAAGAGTTCAATTTTACTCTTGATTGAGCAATAAAAACAACAATTTTTGTGGAATTATCAATAAACTTTTAAATCTCTCCTAATATTTTTCTTGCTTTAGAAAGACTTTATCACAGTCAGGCCTCTGGCCAATTTCGCCTCAAATAAAACGTTAGGCACATTTCGCTGGCCGCGAATTCGCTCTGAATTATCACCAATATTGACACTTTTTGCCCTTTCATATTTTCACAGATGTTGACCCTATTTTTACCAAGCAATCTTTACCTTACGGTATAAACTACTCTCATTTAGTTTGATTATGTGAAACGTGGAATAATTCAGATCTAGGCCGAATTTTCATTGAAATAGGCGAAAAGATTTATTGGAAAAACATGTCACTAAAATGAGAATTGAAATTGGTAAGCAGAAAGCGAAATGTGTCAATACCATCCAAGTCATTATCTTGGGAATGTGAAAATGGATCGGAGGAATATCTCCTCGCCCTACCCCAGGCGAATTGTCCAGCTTCTCTTTCCCTGCTTATTCCTCTTAACTGAAGCTATTGTGATGTGTGATAACCAATGGTCTCTGGAGAGTGTTGGCTGCAGGTGCTGCTCCTATGGCCGAAGCCTCGAGGACATTCTCACCAACACCCGAACTCCCCCAAAGTAAGAAATATTTGTTTTGGGTGGGGGTCTGATTTTTATGAGAAGACTGAAAAATAAAAATCAATTTTTCATTAAAATCAATTGAAAAACAGAAATGGCTTGATTCTGTGCTCAAAAGGATCCAAACCAGGGGGCGGATCGAAGTTTTTCTTGAGTGGATTTTGAATTGCAGGTCGACCAAATTGATGGTTTTCCCAAGTCACAAAAAAGTCCTACTGTGACCACATTTTCCTTCTGGTGGGTCGAAATCCTAGAAGAAGAAAGGAAGAGCAATTAACCAAAATATTCTCCTTCTTCAAAATTTGAATTCGTCAAAGTTCCGAGTTGTTCTTTCCCGTCCATTTTTATTGCTGGCCATTCTTAACAGGTTTACGCACAGTAACTTTATTCAATTCAGGTGCTCAGTACTAAGCGAAAATATTAATTTCAAAACTACAGATTTTTTGGGGCACCTTCGAGAATATTTTGTGAAATCTTGCGTCTTTAAAAAAGTTTCATCAGGAAAAATCAAATTTCCCTATTTTTCTGTCTGTGTTAATTTTTGAGCTTTTCAGCTAAAACAAAAAACAATTTCAAAAGTACAGAATTTTTGAGGCACCTTCGAGAATATTTTGTGACATCTTGCGTCTTTAAAAGAGATATAGAGAAGAAACTAAGAGTTAATTAAATGGGCATCTCTGTCTCTTTCTTTCTTTTTCTCTCTCTTTCACTCGCTTTCGCTGACCATAAATCCCTTAATTTTACCAAAAAAAAGAAGTATTTAAAAACTTTGAAAAACTTTGGTTACAAAATTTGTTCCATTGTGTTAACTGCGTTTCGAACCTTCTGCGATACTTAGTAAAGACTCGACTACTACTGTTTCGTCACGTACTTTTTATGTTTTTTGGTTGTAAATTATGCAACAAAAAATTATCGTATAACACTTTTTGCTATTGGTACAGCAAGTGATTTGTCGTTCCGACCATTGAAAATGAGGAGGAAATTATATTCGAGTTTGTTTTAGTTTTTTCTTTCTTGTGCAAAAAAATTATGTCTTATTCGCTCAATTTCTCCGCGGTTTTATAGTTCTCAGATCACACTACACACTCTGCATTAATTTGAAGAAAAATTACAAAAAAAAAAACTTTTTCGGGTTTAATAAATATGACAGAACTTTCTGTGCTATTTGGACAGCAACCGGCTATCTTTGTTTCAAGTTCATCTTAGCTTAACTGTTTCAGGGGTGCTTTTGAGCCAGGGAATGGAACAGAGAAAAATGGAAAATGGAGACTGCCTGCTGTCATCAATGTCTCCATCCACATTGAAACTATGCGCAACATTGCTAGTCAAGTCACACTCGATTTCTACATCATCCAAAAGTGGCGAGACACTCGACTGCTAAAAGCTGTCGGTAAGTGTTTTTTCTATCAGGTTTTTGTGCAATGGTACCGATGATGCCAAGCAACCATTCGTTTGATTGCTATACCAGCACTGGATTTTCATGAATAATAATCGATTATATTGGATTTTAATTGTTAGTCTCAATAAATTTCAAATATAATCGATTATAATCAATTGAAAATTATAATGAATTTTTTCAGAAGTTTGTGTTGAAGTTTGGAGCTTATTTCAAATTTATGTTTTGGTTTGTGCAGTTATTGTTCCGACTTTCGATACGAAAGTAACGGAATATTTGTGCTCGGGGTGGGTTTTTTTTTCTTCAGACAAATTTCGACTTTTTAACTAGCCATTTTTGGCGGAATTTTTTTATATCATTCAAAAAGAATTGATGTCCTGAGCTTAAATTTGAAAAGATATTTCACCTGTGATCATTTTTCGTAAAGTTATGGGGGTTTAAAGATTGCCATTCTGACCAATTTGGGACAATTAACGCGCGATATATTTCGCGCTATTAATGCGTAAGCGGAGATTTAATCCGTCTTAGAAATCGTTCCAAATTGGTTTGAAAGAAGCTGACTTGCCATGATTTGTTACAAGGAGCGAAACCTATCGTTTTGCACTTTATATGGCGTGTGGGGGGATAATTTTCAAAAAAAAATTCAAATTTTAGAAAAAAAAATTTTCCTTTTATTTTATTAAATTTATTTTTTTTGCGTGTTTTTACTGCTCCATAAACCTTAAAAGGCAGTCGGAACATTCAGGGCTTCGCCCTGATACGAGCAGTCTTGTTACGTTTTATGTTTTATAAAAATTCACTGTTCATATCATAGAAGTTTACATTTTTCAATTTTCAGCAAAAAAACAATTGATTATAATGAATTTTTAAGGATTCACATTGAGAAAAATAATCGATTATAATTTGGATTAGAATTGAATCTTTTATTATGAAAAAAATCGATTTTGTTGCATTCAAAATGGATTTAAGTTTCAAAATTTGCATTTATAATTGCTTATTTTGTCCAATATTTGTGTCACTTAAAATCCGTTATAATCAATTCAATTCGATAACACTCCAGTGCGAATTATCCTGACAAAACGAACAAAACTTGAACTTTCAAACGCGTTTTTCTCAAATTGGGTTAAGATTAGACAAAAAATGAAGAGAACAAAAGTTGCTTAGAATTTCACTAGAATTAATATGGTGCTATTTTTTCTCCGAAATTCTCAACAAAAATTATACCCCAAAAATGGGTCAATTTGACTTTTTTCAATTAATCAAGAATTACGCTGAAACTACTTTGTTAATTGATATGAAAATTATATCACAGGAAGCCTCTTACGCGGCTCAACAATGTTTAACAAGGGTTAAATCTTAAAAAACCAGTATAAATGAAAAAATTTTCACTTGATAGTCAATAAATGTGATTTTTACTATATAAAACCCAGAATTTGTTTAAAAATAAATTTTAAACAATTTGCGCAAATTTTTGGAAACTTAACACTTCTTAAACTTTGTTGGGCTGCGTAAGAGGCTTCTAATGATATAATATTGTTATCAATTAACTGAGTAGTTTCAGCGTAATTCTTGATTAATTGAAAAAAGCCAAAATGACCCATTTTTGGGGTAAAAATTTGGTTGAGAATTTCGGAGAAAAAATGGCATCCTATTAATTCTGGTGAAATTCTAAGCAACTTTTGTTCTCTTCATTTTTTGTCTAATCTTAACCCAATTTGAGAAAAACGTGTTTGAAAATTCAAGTTTTGTTCGTTTAGTCCGGATAATTTAAATCAGCACTGTAGTTCAAAAAGTACGTGCGCTTCGGCATCAAGTGACCATAGATCATAATTGATTGTGAATATCTATAAAATTACAAAATAGATGATTATAACTCAGTTAAAATTGATTATAACCCTAATTTTTTGCCAACATAATTTTGATGAAATTTACTTTTTTTAATCTCATATCCAGCTCAGTACAAATTGCTGCATATTGCCTTTCATGAATTCTTTCATTTCATATTTTATATGGATTTCATATATATTTATGTCTTTCTATCGTTTCTTATAGCTTAATTTTAAGGTAAAGTACCCTGCTTCCCCACCTTTTACAAAATTAGGCGAAAGGGGTAAATTGGGGGAAGGAGATGAGGGTGGGTGTGGTAGTTTGAGGGGGGACGGGATGGAAAACTGGTAGGGGGATTGGGAGGTAAGCATAGGGATGTGGTCTGTTGGATATATTCAAATATTTACCTTTTTTCTTGATACAACTGTGAATAACATCATGTTATTTATTATTATTCATTTCTTTGTAGAACTAAATTTCCTCAAAACAATCTAATTTAGTTCTAAAAAAAATCTATTATAATTGATTCCAATGAATTATACTGGATAACTTTCTAAAATTAATCGATTGAGATAGACAATAGCGGGCCGAGGGGGAGGCAACCCCCCTCTCCCCCTCATTTCTTGAGTTTGACTTTTTTTAACCAAAGGGTCCCCCTATGGGTACATTTTTACTATATAGACTTTGTGAAGACCAATTCCAATTTTTTTCAAAAGCGCCTTCGGCGCACAATCAAAGTTACCATGCGTCCAATAGTGAGGCATGTTTTTTTGACAGGTACCTGAAAAGTCGGAACCTTAAAAGGCGCTTTTAAAAGCTCATTTTCACACCTGAATTTGAGGCGTCAAATTTTGAACGCATTTTCACACCTCAATTTGAGGGGTTAATTGTTTCCACTTTCACACTTAAACTTTTCGCACCTGTAATTGCAGAATCTGATAATACCAGTCGAAGTTTACTATAATAGCAACCCAAATTTTAACCAAAATCACTTCATTCATAAATCCTACTACACTTCATGAGTAAAAAAAACTAAACCACCCCCCCCCCTCGAAAAGTTTCTGCGCACGCCACTGGTGATAAATTATCCTGACAAAATTTAAAAAATTTCACTGCCAAAAGTAATGGATTATAAAAAATATATAATGAATTGCAATGGATTATATTTTTCTAAATATAATCGACAATATAATCGACTTCGTGGTCTGAATTTTACATCTGCAATGGGTTATAATCAATTATTTTTTGCCTCGGAAATCCATATAATCAACAAATCTCCATAGGTGCTTGGTGCGGGCTGCAAATTGAAAGGTGAACTGCTTGCAATATAACCATAGCTTAATTAGTCAGCTTTAAATAATTAACCTCTGATTCTTTTTGAATGTCGATATCCGCATAAATTTTCTCGCTCAAAATTGCTTTGCTTAAAAATTTGATTCACCTGCTCAGAAAAATCTTACAATTACTCAGTGTTCAAACACACGCCTTCAAGGCATGGTTAAGTGCGAAAGGTTTCTGGGAACAAAAACGGCGTGATCAAGTTTGGCTTGCATACATTTGTTGCATAGCGCTTAGGAAGACAAACAAATAGTTTGCTCTTACTGCGCAGGTGTGCATTTCGCATGCTTCGAAAGGTTTGGCACACAAATGTCAATTTTGTCTTTTCTAGTTGTCTGTTTTTTTTTTCGGTTCGTTTTGCGCCATCGAGTTGTTTCATCTTTTCTGTATCGCCACTTTGCCATGCCCGCACCGAGCTCCCATGGATCATAATCGATTATATTGTCATTTTATAGATAGTGCCTTTAAAATTTTTAAATAATCGATTGTAATCCATTAAAAGTGTAAATTAAAATGATAATTAAAGTGATAATGGGAATAAAGTGATACGTATTTTTCGAAGCAATAAAATCCTTTGTAATCAATTATAATTGGTCATAATCGATTAAACTTTGGAAAATTTTCTTATAAGTTTTTGGTTGAATTATAATCCATTTTAATTGAATATAATCCATAGTAACTTAAAAACGTTCACTGTTTTTTCCGCCTTATTTTAGTAGATCATTCATGCAACTGTTGGTAAAGTTTTTTTCATGCAACTGTTGGTAAAGTTCATTCATGCAACTAGCCAATCAAACGTTGAATGAAATTTCGAACATAATTTTACGGTCGAGATGCAATTTTAGGTCGAGCACCAACAAAAATTGGGTCGAAAAATAGGTCAAACACAGTCAAAATTTAATACATTTTGGGCAAGAAAATCAAAATACAGATCGAAATAGAGTTCGAGCGCAGTCGCAACATACACGGTTTTGGTCGAGAAAGTCAAAGTATAGGTCAAGCACGGTCGAAACATAGACTGAGCACAGTCGAAACATTGCCGATTTTGGTCGAGAAAAATTAAACAAAGATCGAAAACATTCCAAGCATAAGTCGAGAACAGTCAAAACATAGGCCGAACAAAGTGGAAGTATAAAAAGAGCACAATCAGTTAAACCCGATTTTGGTCCAAAAAGTCTAAGCAAAGGTCAAGGACAGCCCAGACACAGATCAAACCCGAGCACAGTCGAAACTTAGTTTGAGCAAAAACAACAGAGGTCGAGTACTGTCAAACCTTAACCAATATCAATCGAGAAAGTCGAAACATAGACCGAGAACATTCAAACCATGGGTCGAACACAGTCAAAAAATGCCGAATTTCGGTCGGGAAAGCCAAGACATAGCTCGATCATAGGGTCAAAGCAAAGGACAAACACATTAAAATATAGGCTCAGCACAAACAAAGCAAACCCATTTTCATTCGAAAAAGTCAAAATATAGGTCGAGTAGAGTTAAAACATAGGTTGAACACAGTCCAAACAGGTGGATCACAGTCAAAATATACCAAAATAATGTCGAGAAAATCGAAACATAGGTCAAGCACAGTCGAAACAAAGGGCGAGCACATTGAAGCATAGGTTGAACAGAGTCAAATAATGTCCAATTTCAGTCGAGAAAGTCGAGAAAGTCAAAACATAGGTCGAGCACAGTCAAAACAAAGGACGAGCACACTAAAACATAGGTTGAGCAAATTCAAAACGCATCTAATATTGGTCGAGAAAGTCAAAACATAGGTCGAGCACAGTCACAACAAAGGTCAAACCTAGTCGGTAGAAAAAGCAGTGGAACAC